GACGTGGGGGCACGTCCGGTCGACCACACCGGACGCATCCGGTCGGAGTTGAGCAGCTCTGGGAGCTCTCTGGATTGGACCGGACGCTGTCCGTCTTGCGTCCGGTCGTGGTTGAGCAGCTTTGGGAGCTCTCTGGACTTGACCGAACACTGGCCCTCCTGCGTCCGGTCAACACACCGGACGCGTCCGATCCGACATATCAGAGAGAGCTGTTGGCGGTAATGGCTAGTTTGAATGGGACACGTGGCGGTCAAGCAGTGACCGAACGTAGGCGACCGAACGCGTTCGGGCGGTGCACACGACCTGCGCGTCCGGTCGTTTCGAAAAACACCCAGTGAAGGGGTAACTGCTATTTTAACCTGTGGGGCTATAAATAGAAGTGGTGGTCGGCCTTTGGCCGATAGCTGAGCACACTAGAGCCTTGGTGGCTTATGTGGTAGTGCTTGGGAGCCCTCTAACTCACTCTAGCTTGATAGTGATCATCCGATTGAGTGAGTGAGAGATTCTAGTGCGATTGCATCGTGAGGCTGCATCGAGTGGCACTAGGTGATCGAGTTGCAAGCCGGTGGTGCTTGTTACTCTTGGAGGTTGCCACCTCCTAGATGGCTTGGTGGTGGTCTCCGTCGAAGCCCGCAAGAAGCTTGTGCGGTGCTCCGGAGAAGAGCTTTATGAGGGGCATTGTGCTCGCCCCGCGGGAGCCGCGAAGAGCAACTCTAGTAAAGTGAGACGCGAAGGTGAAAGCTCTAGTTTGGTTTTGGTGAATTGATGAAACCCTAAGTGCTAACCTAGTTTATCAAGATGATTATGAGATAGGTAGCACTACTCCAAGTGATGAAGCAATGACGAAGATCATGATAATGGTGATAGCATGGTGATGATCAAATGCTTGAACTTGGAAAAGAAGAAAGAGAAAAACAAAAGGCTCAAGGCAAAGGTATAAAATGTAGGAGCCATTTTGTTTTAGTGATCAAGACACTTAGTGAGTGTGATCACATTTAGGATAGATAGCCGTACTATTAAGAGGAGTGTAACTCGTATCGAAATGCGGTTATCAAAGTGCCACTAGATGCTTTAACTCATTGCATATGCATTTAGGATCTAGTGGAATGCTAACACCCTTGAAAATATTTGTGAAAATATGCTAACACATGTGCACAAGGTGTTTGCAGGGTTGAGATGGGTTTGGGTCCTCTCTCCCTCCCGCCGAAACTTGCGAGAATGGATTCGCTTTGGAAAAATGAAATGTCTATTTTCTATTGCGCCGGATGCAAAATTCTTGGTGGTTGGCACATTTGAGCAAGGGTGAGAAGTTAGAGTTGAAATGGAGTTGGTCGAAATAATCTTTGGCGTCGGTCCTGTGGCCCGGACCTGAATCAATCTTGCCCGGACGCCGACATGCGCGTCGATCCGCAACACGACTTCAAGCTCAGCGAGAAGGGTTGAGCACCGGACGCTGGTCTCTGCGTCCGGTCAAAAGGTGGACCGGGACGCGTCGGTCGAAGAAACATGCCTCGGGAGCTTCTGAAAAACACCGGACCGAGGCTTCAGGTCGGTCCGGTCGATTCAGGAGCAGCGTCCGGTCGAGGTCGATGACCGTTGAGTCTGGACACGTGGTCGACATCGAGCGACCGGACGCCGAGAGCCGCCGTTCGGTCCGATCGACCGGCGTCCGTCCGGTCGTAACGCGCTTTGCCCAAAGAAGGGTATAACGGCTCTATTTTGATGGGGGCTCTATTTATAGCCCCATGGCCGCTCAAGGGAGAACCCTTGCACATTTTCATTGACATAGCAAGCTTGTGAGCCTAGCCAAAGGACTCCCACTCATCTACATCATTGATTAATCATCATAGTGAGATTGGGAGTGATCCAAGTGCATTGCTTGAGTGATTGCATCCGAGGCACTTGGTGATTGTGTTTCGTCATTGCGGATTTCGCTTGTTACTCTTGGTGGTTGCCGCCACCTAGACGGCTTGGAGCAAAGCAAGGATCGTTGAGTGGAGGAGGTGATTGTCTCCGACTCCGATCGTGGTGATTGTGAAGGGTTCTTGACCTTTCCCCGGCGGAGCGCCAAAAGGTACTCTAGTAAATTGCTTGTGGCTTGTGTGATCCTCATCTTGTGTTGGTTGTGCGGCACCCTATTGAGGGTTTGGCGAGTGATGCCAATTAGCGCGTGAACCTCCAAGTGAGTGAATCGCCACAACGAGGACTAGCTTGCCGGCAAGCAAGTGAACCTCGGTAAAAATCATTGTGTTCATCATTTGATTCCGAGGTGATTGGTCATCATTGTTATTCATCTTCGTGATTGATTGGTTCATTCATCTACACGGCGGTATAACCCTCTTGATCACTCTCTTTACTTTACCGCAAACTAGTTGACAAGCTCTTTAGTGTAGCTAGTTGTGAGAGCTTGCATGCTTGGTTGGTGTGGCTCTTTAGTTAGCCTTTGAGAGCACACTAACATAGGGTAGTGTCATTGCTCTTGTGTGAATTGACACTATCTAAACTAGAATTGTGGTAGGTGGCTTGCATTTTTGAGTAGGCTAGCGCAACACTCGCTTCGCCTCATAATTGTCTAACCATTTGGTTAAGTGTTGTTGTAGAAATTTTATTAGGCTATTCACCCCCCTCTAGCCATTAGGACCTTTCAGAAGGGCGATAAGTGGTCCGGCTAGGTCAAGTGCTAGAGCTTGTGGTAAGCACTCCACGTGGGAGGAGTGTGACTTGCGGGTCACCACTAGCAAGAGGACCGGTGGCAACCTTGGAGCTTGTCTCAACAGGGACTAGCGTGTTGGCAAGCACGTGAATCTCGAAAAAAAAATCATCGTGTCATCCTTGTATTCCCGTTGGTTTGCATCCTCGTTACACAAGCTTGTAATTACTTTCATATACATTGTGCTTGTGTAGTTGCTCTTGTAATTAGTTAGCTTGTGTAGCTTGCTAGTTACCTTCTAGCTTGTGTAGCATAGAAGTAGCTCCCTTGCGTGGCTAATTTGGTTTGTGTAACCTTGTTAGTCACATTGCTTAGTTTGTGTAGCTAAGTATTTACGCTCTCTAATTTGGCATTGATTACCTTGTTATTGAGCATTGCTAGTGAGCTTAGGTGACTTTATGCTTTTACTTACTAGCATGTGTAGGAGCTCCCTCGTTGCTTGAAATACTAGTGGCATAGGTTTGTGTGACCTAGCTTATAGAATTGGTTAGGTGAGCTCTAGCTAGCCCGACACCTTTGTTACCTAATTAGGATCTTTATAAGGTGTTTGTGAACTTCGATAGAGGGGTGTAGTCTTGGCTAGACCGATTGTTTTAATTATGTATTTGTTTCGGTTAGCCGCTGCGATTAAATTTAGAAATGACTATTCACCCCGTCTAGTCGCCATCTCGACCCTATAGCTACCTCACTCATACCCGACCGGACATTGCGTTCGCGGTTGGGTACGTCAGCCATTTCATAGAGGACCCATGCGAAGATCACTGGTCGGTAGTGAAAAGGTTGCTGCGCTACATCAATGGGACGCTCAATCAAACAATCATCTTTCCCAAGAGTGGCGGAAAGGGTGGGTTGCGGCTCACGGTCTTCAGTGAGTCACCCCAAGGCAAAGGGAGGTGAAATGGAGCTCACTGTCTTCAGCGATGCGAACATGGCGGGCGACATTGATGGGCGACAAAGCACCTCTAGCGTGCTCGTCTTCTTTGGAGCGGCCCTCACTGCTTGGCAGTCGCTGAAGCAAAAGATCGTGGTGCTATCGACGTGTGAGGCGGAGTACGTCGCAGCAGCCATGGCGGCATGCCAGGCTGTCTGGCTACGCCGACTGCTGGGCGAGCTGACCAGCGAGGAAGCTCACCTGCCAGCTCTGATGGTAGACAACTAGCTCGCCATCGCTCTCGCCAAGAACCCTGTCCTCCATGACTGGAGCAAGCAAATTGACATCAAGTTCCACTTCCTCCGAGACTGCATCGATGGAGAGCAGATCATCATCGAGTTCGTCGAGAACAGTAGACAGCTCGCTGACATCCTCACCAAGTCACTCGGCCGCCTACGGTTCATGGAGCTAAGGAAGATGATTGGCATGGATGAGGTCAAGGCATCGGGTTAGCAGCAGGATTAGGAGAAGAATTGTAAGACATAATCTGCTGCTCCCGTTTCTCCATTGTTGGAGAATGGTTGGCTCGGCCGACCACTCCCTATTGGGAGTTGGAGACTAATCGGCTTTGCCGACCAGCTCATGTAGCTATAGTAGTAAGGCAGTAGGCCATAGTAGTAGTGGCTTACTTCAGCCATATAGAGTGAAGATGGCTGAACTAAGCTTTGTACCTTAGGAGTAGGTAATTGGTCTACTCTTGTACTCCAATAGTAGGTAGTTGGTGTACTCACCAACAACTGTGTACCTGGAAGAGGTACAACTAGAGTTGTATATATTCTATCCAAAGGTAATACAACAAATCAGTTCAGTTGCCACAAACCAAAGGACAGGGCTTCGGCCAACGCTGGTGCTTGTGCTGAGTGTGTGTGTGCTGTTCTCAATCTCTTCTTCTACCTCTAACTTAAGTGAGTGTGTACTGATAAACTAGTTGCTTACCTGTGCAGGGTAGCCAGAGACCAACAGCCTGTAGCACTAGCAGACGGTCGCTGCCAGACGAGTGATCAGATGGTTGTGTCGCCGCTAGGCGATGACCGATGAGGATCGGTGACGCATTGTAGCCCACGGTCAACTGCCGTTTTAGGCTTGATGCTGCTCAAAACCTGTGCTCCCGATCACAATCTGGTCACACTACGTGTGCTCGAGTCGGCAACCTGTGCTCGAAAGTCGGGATCTTGCATGGCTACGGAAAACTAGTCAGGTTTCCTTCCGGAATAGGAGTCCGCGCGTCAATATAAGGCCAAGCCTAAACCCTGTGCAATCTCAGAATAGGAGGTAGTTCTGGTGTTCCTCGTGTTAGGGCTACAATACATCAATCCTCCTGCACCGCCACCGCCGCCCGAGCGGCAACTGGGAATCGAGATGGCACCACACGGGCCGCCTTTCGACTTCGACCTCAACGAGCCGCCGCCGCCGAAGAACGATGGCGTGAACGGCATGTCCGTAGAGACGGTGCCGGAACCCTCGGTGCAGCAAGATCCGGTGCCGCCTGCGCTAGTGCCGGAACCCTCAGCGCAGCAAGATCCGCTGCCACCGCCTCCGCCGGTGCCGGAGCCGACGACGGCGCATGTTCTGCTGCCTGCGCGATCGCTAGTGCCGGCGCCGGAGGAGGCCTCGCCGGTCGACCCGCTCCCTGCGCCACTGCGGGCACCGGTGCCCCTGCCCTCGCCGCATCATCATCTGCCGTCTCCGGTGTTAGACCTGGAGGCCCCGCTGTCTTCTCTCGACGATGAGGACGAAGACGTGGCGGATCTGCCCCTGCCCCCGCCACCGCCGCCGTCATGGTACCGCGTGGACACATCCGACGCGCCCACGGTTTCCTCTGGCCGTCAGGGCGATGCGGCGCGGCAGTACTCGTCGCCTGAGACTTGGGCACCGCGCGGTTCTAGGGCGGCGACGGCGAGCGACACGACGTCTTCCCACAGGTCGCGGCGTAGGCCCTACTCCTGCGATGACGCGATCTCCAAGCAACGTAGCGTCGACTACGACGAGGACGGCGGGTCGTCCCGATCCCAAAGCGGGAGCTGTCGTCGCTCGGAATTCGGATCCCCGCGTCGCTACGAGCGCTCGGGACCGGTCCGCCGCATCACTACTACGAACAACAAGATGGTGGACGGCATGTGGCGGCGGTGGATGGGCAGCCGGCGCGCCGCCAGAACCGCCCGCCGGCGGGGGGGGGGGGCAGAGGCCACAGCATGGGTTCTAGTACGAGGGCCCAGACGCCCAGTGCAGAAGCAGCAGGGCTTCCGGGGCCAAGAAAGGCCGCAGGTCCATCATGGGCCTCATCATGGTCCGGAAGTGCCAAAGGTGGGCTTTGCTTCCTTACAACCCGCCCTCTGGAATCGTCAGGCGTGATTCGTCCGGTGCCCGGCTGAGTCCGGAGCAAGAACGAGGCACCGGTTGGGATCGTCGTGAGTGCAGGGAAGAGGACGCGCCTCCTTTCAGGCCGTCGTCGTCCTCTCGACCGCACGGCAGGGAAGATCCGTACCACGCCCGGCAGAGTCAGGCGCAAGAACCCCCGAAAATTGGTGGGTATCAGCACCGAGATAGAGAAGCGCCAAGCTTCAAGCCGTCGTCCACTGGAACGCACGGCGGTGGCAGGGACGGTTCATACGGCGGACGGCACATTCCTCCGGAAGAAAAAACCATCACCGGTGGCGCACATCATCAGTAGCAAACAAAGGCGCCTCATGGTCTTGATGAGCAGTTCCCCGATCGGGCGTACCATCCCTACGCACGTCGCGGCAGCGGCTTCGACAGGCCCGACGACGGCGGCCGCAATCCAGCGAGGCGTCAACCCCGGGAACCCCGGGACAGCTACGAGCACCGGCGCTACAGCAAGCAGCTCACGTCAGGAGGACCTCCTGCTCGTGGCCTCCGATACTATGGAGATGTGCAGGAGTGAATCCAGTCTCGCTGCTCCCCCATGGCGGCGGAAGCCGTCTGTATCCTATGTTAAGTTTTGGTTAGATTTTGCTTGCCCCAAAGAGACCAGTCACCTGGTATGGAACATGTACTAGTTTTAGTTTCAGAGAATTTTGCAGAACATCTACTAGTTCCAGAGAATTTTGCATTCGTGTCGGCGTGTGTGCTTGGACAATTTTGCTCCAGCTGAAGAATTAGGAGTCTGGACGGCCTGGTGTGTTTTTCACGATTATATTGCATCTCGGCGACGGCCATTCTGGCCAGCACTAGCGTCTGCCTGATGAGCCGTGCTTCCTAGCTGGGCCGAGGCGAGGCCCAGGTGAGACCTGCGTCTGCCGCGACGGCGCTACAGCCTGCGTCCGGAGCTCAGCAGAGTTGACGGACGAAGAAGAAGCGTGCCAAACTGCCAACCGTCGCCCGTCGGCCAGCAAGGCTCAGGACCATCTTACTACGGGTTGGTTTTAATCCGGTTCCAGACCATTCAACCCGAGGTGTGGAGGCGGGGTTTGGCCGAGCTTCTCGACGGCAGCGCATGCACACCTGGGCATCTGGGCTGCGCTGCACTATACATCACCGGCCAGGAGGGCGTCTGCCTTCATGGCGTCCAATCTCGTCACGCCGTAGTAGCACGACGTCCACCATGCACGAGGTCTGTCAATGTTTTCTGGCGATGAATCTTGCTGTATGTTGTTGTTACTTGTGAGCTGAGGGCCAGTTTGGTTGTCGAAATTTTTGACAAAACGACACTGTAGTGTTTTCGTTGTTATTTGACAATTAGTGTCCAATCATAGTCTAATTAGGCTTAAAAGATTCGTTTCGTGGATTTCGTCTAAACTGTGTAATTAGTTTTATTTTTTATTTATATTTAATGCTTCATGCATGTGTCCAAAGATTCGATGTGACAGAAAATCTTAAAAATTTAGTATTTTGGAAGAGAACTAGACAGGGCCTGAGAGCACCTGACGTTCTGTCCTTCACCTTCCTGCCCATGACGTCCGTGCCATCGACCTGTCCACCTGCATGCTTGGAGCCCTTCTCTGTATAGACCCTGGGGCGGGAGAGCACTGGGTCTGGGTGGCAGCTGATGCCGAGTGGCGCTGCCGTGCAGTGGGCGAGGGCGCACCCTCGACGTCTGCGGCGCCAGACGGTGTGTCCCGTGGTTTCAAAACCGTCGGACGACTAGAACCATAAACAGGGCTACTCGATCAGGGGTACAACAGAAACGCGAGGCTGCTTGTCATCAGCGTGTGATTGCGAAGCGACGCCATGTGGGCGAGCCGCGAGCTAGCGTCCCCCACTGCCCTCGCCGATCTGCCGGACCCCGCTATCGCCCGGCCAGGAGCAGGGAGCACCACCACCAACCCGTGGCCCCGGCATGATGCTTAGTCCGACGGCCGCCTCCCCAGTCCCCACCAACCATACCGGCCGAGCGCCCGCCGTGGACCGCCTATGCGGCTCCTGCCAGGCCGGCTTCGGCGACTCCGGCAGGCGGCCGTACAGTAGCATTGCCATATTACGACACTCTCCGGTCTTCACAGTCTCTGACTCGGAGGAGTGCCGCTCCCGCTCGATGTCATGATCTGTCAGTAAGGAGAACGTACACTGCCGTGTGCCGCGAGGTCTTCATCACGGGGAAGGGATTGTCAAAGCCGTGTTAATGGTCGGTTTGAGTTTGATTGCTCGCTGGTTGCATTGTATGATCAATGGATTAACGCCGTGTTCGGCTGGGGCTGGCTGGGCTGGGCTGGCCAGCCCCCTCATATAGAACACTGTTTACATAAACCAGCCAGCAATACTTTTCTCTCGTATAAACGAACCAGCAACGATACGAACCAGCCAACCGAACAGGCTGTAAGAGGGCCGTGTCCTTCGATGGATTATTATCTGTTACTTAGCTAGTGTGCGGTTTGCCTAAGAACACGTTTAGTTTCCAAAATTTTTCACCCCAAAGTATTACATCGAATCTTGCGACACATGCATGTAGTACTAAATATAGACGAAAAAAAACTAATTGCACAGTTAGGTGAGAAATCGCGAGACGAAACTTTCGAACCTAATTAGTCCATAATTAGACACTAATTATCAAAATGCAAACAAAATGCTACAGTAGTTAAACAGTAACCAAACCCAAAAAAAATTTAGAAACTAAACGCACCCTACTCAGCTTGAATGCTCGATTGCTTGTTAAGGAAGGGTGCAGCAGGTCACGTCGCTGTCCGCGTCGTGACACAGCGAATTCATTTATACCGTGAGGGGGAGGGGAAACAACCCTTCCTTGGGCCAGTTTAGTTCCAAAATTTTTTCAGATTTTTCGTCACATCAAATTTTTAGACACATGCATAAAATATTAAATATAAATAAAAAATAAAACTAATTATACAGTTTAGACGAAATTCACGAAACAAATCTTTTAAGCCTAATTAGACTATGATTGGACACTAATTGTTAAATAACAACGAAAAGTGCTACAATACATTTTGCAAAAATTTTCATCATCTAAACAGACCCCTTGTTCCTAGCTTCTGACATGTTACCTTCCTGACTGTTCAGTTTGCTTATAAGCCGTATTTTTTTAGCCAACAAATAATATTTTTCTCTTACAATAAATCAGCCAATAATACTTTTAGTCATAGCTTATCAGCCAAGCGAATATGACAAATGATGTGTGTTCACAAGTAGTACTGCCATCAACATCTTTGACAATGTTTTTAGTTTATTGTAGCTTAACCATCTCTCTCAGAAATTTTGAGGAGTACTGCCCTATTCGCTTGTGTTATAATCCGTATTTTTCGACTTGTCTTTTTGGCTAGAACAGTGTTTTCTCTCTCACAACAAATCAGTCGGAATAGTGTTTCAGCTTGTTTTTTCAGCGAAGCGAACGGGGAATCAACCTGTTCGCTCGTTGGTTTCAGCCAAGGCTTATCAGCCAGCCAACAGTGTTTTCTCTCACAACAAACCAGCATCAGCCGGACTTATCAGCCCAGAAACCAACTAGCGAACAGGCCGAATATAGCTTAACAAACTTTCTCTTTCATGAGCTTTCAAAACCAAATGGAACGAGTCTCTCTCTCTCCCTCTCATGAGCTTTCAGAACCAATGGAGCGACCGCAAATATGCCTGGACGCTGCAACGGGAGAAAAGCTATCAAACATTGATAAAAAATGACAATGGTAATACTAATGATAATCGAGACATTAATATAAGTTAATGTTGTTACTAATATAATAATGTCCTATTAAACTATTATCGAATTAAAAATGACCTTGACATATTTTCGTACTATCTAACGGAAAATTATTATATGCGGCGGTGCCGCACAAGGCTGCTGTTGCGACACCGCCCACACCAGACAGCGGCACGCTCTTGGCCCCATCAGACAGCAGACGTCCATCCATCATCCGCTTGATCCAACAGCATGCAGGTGGTGTCGCATGGCATGAGAAGTTGCGGCAGTGCCGCATATAATTTTATTCCCTATATCTAACCGTTTGATTATGTGGACTATCCGTTGATCCAGGTTTTTACAAAAAATATTTGGCTTTTCTAATCATAACTACATCAACAATTTAGTGGTGAAATGTTTTGTTTATTATATAGAAGGATCAACGATTGAAAAGTCCATAATATCACATTTAGTATTATTTTTGACATTTATGAAAAATCAAAAGAAATCCCATGCGGACTCAAACGTGAGGACAGAGGAGCCAAAGGAAAAAAAAGGACCGGGACTGACATCTACGCCCAACGGTCGAAACGGACTCATAGGCGAAAGAGGTGAAGGGGAAAAAAATAGAAACTGGACCAAACATGCGGAGGGAATTATATACTACAAATGTGTTTGTGTATTTTGCAACGAAACTCAATACATATAGGAATTGGATTCATATCATCGCTAAATGCGAGTTGTTCTGATTCATTTGAGCGAGAATCATGAATCTTGGTCACATACGATATACGTAAGACATGAATGTGTAACACCTCTGGTGTTTTGACCTAGTATTAAAACTTGACATGTCATCATATGCATTGCAAAGCATTCATAAAGTAGGAAATTTTGAATGCATTCACTATATAAGCTTTATTTCATAAGTTGTTATTTTATGTGATGTAATGAGATTCAAAACTCTGAATGAAAATCATGACCACAAGGGTTAAATTTCATGTGAGACCATGTGTCATTTGACTCAAATAACCCTAATGGGCCATGTAATTGGTCAAAAACCATAATTAAGTAAAAAGGTGAACAAATCAAATTGAATTGAAATTCAAATTTATAAAAGTCCTTTTTGCCACTTTTGTCTATTTCAAAATCCATTTGGAATTTGGGGGTGTGACAAAAAGCAAAGTTGAAGCTTATTTTATAAGGATCAACTTTGGTATTCAAAGTTTTTAAAGTTTACATATAAAATTTGGAGTAATTTTGAAATGAT